CAAATGATTCGCACGAAAATAGACGCATTTAGGCAGATCGGGGATCGGCACATTCCCTTCAAAAACGAAAGTAACGTTAATCCTCTGTGTCTTTAGCAGCTCAGATGTCGAGAGTAAATGACGACTGCTATGTTCATTATTACATCCAACAACAAAACACCTCAATCGCTTAATCGGAGACATTCTTGTCTTCCTCTGCACCGGAGTCAACACAATGGCGGCCAGCTCACAGCGGGTCTAAGTTAAGACGACCTTGTCAATCAACTATCGTGGGAGCGGCCTGTGCAGAACTACATCATTCTGACAGGAATCTCAGAACAGCCTGATTTGAGAAAGGGGATTTTAAAATAGGGATTTTAAAAAAAAAACACTGGGTGGATTTTTATCATTATAGGGTGGATATGTACACACACTTCCAACACACATTTATGTTCAAACAACATGTAAAGTGAATTTTGAATCCGATGCATCCGATGACCCCTTTAAGCTTCCTGGTCGCTACGTCACCCCGTCCGTGACGTCTTGCCCATCCACTGGACTGATTACACACGTGATTCAGAGCGCGGTCATGCTGAATGTGTTCCCATAGCGTTTCACAGCATCTTGTTCCCTCAGAGAACCATGGTTAACCTAGGGACGTTTTCCAGGACACAGAATAATCAGACACATTGCGCATGCTCAGTCGGTGAGAACGGTCGATGACGCGAGGAAATGACCAGTGCAAGGATGAGACGGCTGTCCATGCAGGTGAACGAGACAGGCTATGAGGACCTCGATTGTTGAAGAGCCTCTTACAAACACTGAGTGAAATCAAGACACTGACATAAACTGTGCATTAATTCACTGCACAGATTTCTGCTCCTATTGCAATCACTGAAATGCTTCTGCTTTTTTACCAAACACTATCCAGTAGATACATAATTTTTATTTTATATAAATATTTTATTGTGCAAATTTTGAGAATAAAATAGCTAATAGCCGAACAACAACATATCTCAAACAACCATAACAAATGTCTTATTCAGCTTTGCATTTGTCATCACTCTATCTGCTCTCCTGTTTGAATAATGCTTTGCTCCTGCAAGCCTAAAGAACAATGTTATTTTTTGTTTCAGCATTATAAAGCTGGACTTTTGCAGGAAACTCAACAGACAAAACCTTTATCAGACGATGCTTCGGGTAGGCTGGCTGTATAATCCGCCTCCATTAGCCTTTCAATGTGTTTCTCTTGAATAAGAGATGTCTTTTTTTTTTTTTTTTACCTCAAAGCTTATATTAGGCATTTATTTTAAAGCAAATTAAGTAATACAATTATTAATTAAAAGGCTTAGTATGAATAGTTTTACAAGAGGATTGCTAAATCACAGTGAAGTGGTGTTGTGATGCCGCAGTAAATAATTTGGTTCATAAACTTCCCCCATGACAGCCCCAAGCCCAATATGTGCTGCGGGAAACCTGGACTTGTTCTCTGTGTTTTGTTCTGGTGGTGTATTGTTCCTGTATTTCCTTGGTTACTGATTATGTTCACCTGTGTCTAGTTTAGCAGTTTAGTTAAGTTCTTGCTGTTCCAGTATCATCATCTTGTGCTTGTTTTGTTGAATTAAAGTCTGTCATCAGACATGTGCCTCAACTACTCTCTTTGCTTGCAAAACATTACATTAGCAGCATTTCAGTGTTCTCCCTTCCAAATGCCGTCGGAAGACATTAATAATGCCGCTGAATACATGAATATAATATGAATATAAATACAATCAGTTATGTCTTAATGGACTGTTGACAGACAGGATAAGATATCTAATGTCAAAACAGATCTGGGCATTAATGTGAACGAGCCTACAGACCGAGCCCCTGAAGTCAATCCACTTATTTTTACTGTAATGGCAACTGCGGCAGATTTTAACCCCGAATGCACGAGGCTTCCAGTGTCATCCAGTTCCAGTTATTTTAGCTGAACGTAAACAGTCTGTTATGCTGCTTAATGTTGCAAACAAGTATTTGCTATCATATTTATCATATTTGCTATCGTATTGCTTCTGTTGCCCTTATTTGGAAGTCACCTTGGAAAAAAGCATCTGCTAAATGATTAAATGTAAATTAATATTATTTTAGTCAATTATTGTAATCATAAACATACTGGTTTGTAGCACAAAAAGTCGCTTTGGACAACTTTGACACTGAAAGCACTTTTTGTTTATTGCTTGTAATGTGGGTCTTTGTTCTTTATAACTGACTTAACCTATATTTATTAGTTGAAAATTACTTGCATGCAACTGTTTCATTATTCATTTGCAAATATTAAAAGAAGAATAATATTTAAAGTAGGTAAACTGTTAAAAATGAATTTGCAAAAGCTCTTATTTTTAATCTTTGGTAATGAAATTGTTATTTCATTACCAAATTAAATTTGTTAAGAGAATTGCCACATCAGTAATTGCAATTGTCGGTATAATTGTACTATTTACACCTCTAGAAACAGTGTCTCATCAACTTCTCATCAATTTCATGTCTGCATAAAAGGGATTTAAGTAGTGACCGAGAAACCTTTTCACAAGCGTGTATGCGATGAGCTGAGATTTCAGCTACAGTAGTGGAAATTAAATTTCAGTAATGTAAGTCAACAGAAGCAGTTTTGTAAGAAGCTTTTCGACAATGAGAATGAATGACTTTCACTGGTGTTTATGTCAGGATTCTCAGTAACGTCCTCGTGCTTCACTCGTGTGCATCATACCAGGGTCAGCATGACTCGCAGGGGTTTTGGGGAGGTACATTCCTGGAAAGCTGAGGTGCCCTGAAGGAAGCGAGGCCACTGGGTGATTCTAAGGGGAAAAGCCCGCCTCCGTGATCTGTCTCCACCCCCCTGCCTACCCTCATATGTGACTGTGAGAGAGCCCCTCCCTCCTGGCTCGTGATTGGCCGCTGGGTCCTGTGGGGCGTGTCGGCCGGGGAGGATGGTGAGGCTGAACTCGGCATCACTTGAGAGGTCAAAACAATCTGGGATGTAACACAACAGGGGAAATGTGCTTCTTAGTGTCACGGTGAACAGCATGAGCAGAGTGCGCTGTGAAGCACCCAAAACACAAAGACAGTGAAAGAACATCACAGGTGTCCATGAGAGAAGTTTTCACAGAACTGTGCATCTCTGTGAGTGTCAGACAAAGATGATGATCTAGGATCACCAGGCTGCCCACAGAGCGTACAACTGCTTCTAAGTCCTTTACACTATGCAGCTCCTAATAGAGCTCTGGGCCGGACCCTTACTCATCCAACTGTTTGAGGGGCTTGAGACACTTGAATTGACCACGATACATGACATGTTACTTGCCTCCCCAATCCATTCAAACTCTGGCGAGACCTCGCATACACCTCGGAAACTAATGATGCAAGTCTCTGTGGTCATTCTATTCTCAGAAACAACAAAACGCAGACGTACATGTTAATAAGAGATTCATTCATTATACACTGCAGACAGCTTCACTTATTATAACTAGAGCTTTTTTAGAGTGCTTACACTCATGCTAGACTGAATTCAGTGATGTTTTTTCATAATGTAAATGTTCTTTGCTCTCTGTATAATGTGTTCATTGCCTGAATAATTGTGGACATGTGGCATTATAATTAAACTTAAAATGTATTTTTATTAAACATGTTATCAGGTTAAATACAAATTCAGTCTTATTAAAATATTTTATGACATAATACGGTACTTGCCTAAAACTTTATGATTTGCGTAGTTAATAGATTACATTAGGCTACAGTGGTTTAAGCGCGTTTGACTAGAGATTAGTGTGCAATTATGTGATTGTCAGTGGCTGTCTAGAGAAGTGAGAACGCTTCAGAAAACGGCTCATAAAAAGGACGAGTACGTGAATGGTTTTTACAAGTCGTAATCTAAAATACGGTAATATTGCATGACAACATATCACATGAAATTCTGTAAGTGAGGGGGTGATGTAGGGATGAAAAATACAACAGTATTATATTTCTGGTCATTTTAATATGTAATTAATCACAAAACTCTCACACAAGTGAAGTATCTTGGGGATGATCGAGGGGCACAATGAAAATCTTAGACCCGGCCCAGCAGCACCCCTAGTTCACGCGGCTATGAAAGTTTCAGTATTGATACGCCCACATATACAAAAGTACAAAACTTTTCATGGGGTGTACTTAAGATCTGAAAGCACTGTAAGTCTTCAAAGCACAAGTGCTCAAAACAAGTAGGGTTTTAAATATGACAAAAAAATTACTTAAAGGGTTAGTTCACCCCAAAATGAAAATTATGTCATTAATTACTCACCCTCATGTCGTTCCAAACCCGTATGACGGAAGACGTAACTCGGGGGAGAAGAATTGTTGAATAACTTGTTGTTTTTGTTTTCTCTGCGCTCAAAAAGTATTCTCGTAGCTTCGCAAAATTGAAGCTGCACCACTGATGTCACATGGACTGTTTTACCGATGTCCTTGCTACGTTTCTGTGTCTGGGAACATTTCAGTTGCATTGCTGTCTATGGAGGGCCAGAGAACTCTCGGATTTCATCAAAAATATCTTAATTGGTGTTCTGAAGATGAACGAAGGTCTTACGGGTTTGGAACGACATGAGGGTGAGTAATTAATGACAGAATTTTCATTTTGGGGGTCAACTAACCCTTTAATTATGACTATGTTTGACACAAAATACCCCCACAATTTAAGTGGACCTCAGGAAAAAATACATATCAGATATGTATGATAATGACACCTTTATGGCCTAATGCAGGGCTGTCCAGTACTGATCCTGAAGATCTGCAGAGTCCAGCTCCAGCACACCAGCCTGGACGTTTCTAGTGAGTCTGAAGAGCTTGAGTCGCTGCTTCAGGTGTGCTTGATTAGGGTTGCAGCTGAACTCTGCAGAGGAACAGGTTTGGACACCCGGTCTAATGGCATGAAGGAGAAAGGTGCAGCAGTGGTCCAGTGTTTGTGAGGTCTGCTGGAGCTAGTGTGTGCGATGCGTTCACCTCACCCTCTCTCTTCCAGCGCAGTCTGCGGATGGATGCGGCGGTGATGGTGCAGCGGGAGATCCGTCTGATGCTGGGAGTGACCTCCACCTGCAGGACCTTCCTCCCCTGAGATCCGTCCGGAGCGCTGCCGGGCAGAGAGCTCTTCATCGCATTGCCCAGCTAAACAGCACAGAGGCAGAGAGCGGTGAAACAGCGTGGCGAGCGGCAGAGAGAATCATCCACAGACAGGAGAGGAGTCTGAATCGTACCAGCAGCGGCTCTGAATACAGCTCCAGCTGAGCTCTGTACAGGATGTCATCCAAAGCCTCTCTCCCAGCATCCCACTCGCCGTTATATCTGCGCAAACACACGCCCAAACCTGATCACGCAATACTAACAGCCTAACCCGTGAAATGTAAAAACAATCATGCAAATGCACTTAGAACACAATTCTAGTCCCTACAGGCTTGCATGAAGATCAATACAACAGTTATATTCTTTCTAATGTAAAAAAACAAAAACATTCTCATAACTGTAATTCACTGAAATACATTTGTATTTTGGATATTTCCCTATTTTTGAGTTTTTGTAATTTCCAGTTCCCAATATTCTCAATGATCACCACATTCTGACTGTAGTCCAGTATTTTTTAATGGTATGCAAGTACAAGCGTTACTGTGGAGGACTTTAACAACGCTCAGGTGAGTTTGTAAGGAGATGTCTTGGCCGTGTTCACACTCACATGGCGTGATAGACAGCAGCCAGCATCTGCACCATGAACTGGGGCTCCAGCAGCACACGCATGCAGGGAGCGGTCCAGGCCTTCAGCTGCTGCCGGGGAAAGCCGCTCACGCACAGCCTGCACATCACACACACACCAGTGCTCTCACTCTCTGCATGCATACATCAAATATCTGCTTCTCTACTTCAAATTCTGCCGCTTCACTTCTGTTGGGTGAGCGTAAGTGTGAACATATCACCAGGATTTCAATGTCTCTTCATTGGCTTCTTATCAGTGGCTCTTGGCTTTTAAGGTACTATAGAGATTAATATAATCTCTTGTTTTGAATGCCGTTATACTTTTATCGATGTAAAGCACTTCGGTCAACTCTAAGGCTACGTTCACACTGCAGATGGATGCTGCCCACATTGTTTTGCTCACATGTGACTCAGATCTGTTTTTCTCATGGCAGTGTGAACAGCACAAACTGCGTGGAATCTGATCTTTTCAATTCCGATTTGTGCCACTTCTATATGTGGTCCTAAATCCGATACAGGTCAGATGTTGTGCAACGCCACCGCAGTGTGAACGGTCACATCGGAATCCATGTGACTTTTATCAAGACAGCTGCGAAAAGTAATCAGATATCTCAGAACTCATAAGTATTACAGTGACAACTTTATAAACGAGCAAAACAAGAAAACGTATCATGTTACAAAACCTCTGCTTTCTTTTGTCACATCCTTGTCTTTGTTTTTCATATTGCCTGTGCATAATTTCACTGGCTTCTGCGGCAGATCACACTATAAATAAACACATAATCGCTTACTTTATGTCCTGTGTTTACTTCCATATGACAGCGCACTGCGCAAGTGTTGCCAAGTTTTCCCACAGAATTGGGCTACTTTTTCACTGTTGCTGAACTTTTTTTTTACTTTTTCACTGTTTCACGGGTAGTTTTTCAACACTGTGGGTTGAAGCGACTCCACTAACGCGATATTTACCCCCTGAAACGCGATTGGACTAGTTTTGAGAAGCAATTGGGCAGATTTTGTTGTGAAAACCTGGCAACCCTGTTCGTGTTGTTCTTTTGCGCATGCGGGTCAGTTCAGAGCCATGATCTGTTCACACTGGAAATCCGAAATCTGAACATCAATGTGAACAGCTATACAAAAAATCAGACCTGAGCAAAAATCGGAATTGAGCACTAAGGCTCGCAGTGTGAACGTAGCCTAAGCTGTTTTAAATTGAGCTCTAGAAATACACTTGGCATTGCCTGCTTGTAATGGCTCTGGGTTCAGAGAGCGGAGGTGAGATCTCACCGCGAGCTCATCCTGCAGACGGCCCGGTGTGATGAGCGGGGCATGTAGACCACCAGCGAGTTATAGCACAGCATCAGGAAACACAGCACCTCAAACCTGCAGACACACACAACCACAGACGTCACCTGCATTCACAGCAGTCTGAGAACTCATTTCACAGATCCTTCCTTTGGACATTTAACTGAGAGAAAGACAGAGTTCTCGAGACGATGACCTGTTCTGGGCAGTGAAGGTCTCTCTCTGCAGGTGCAGGCCGCTGTAGATCACTCTGATCAGGTCGTGCTGACAGAGAGCGCCCTCAGTCAAAGCCATGGAGCCCAGACTGGATGGCTGAACACACACACACAGTGACACTAAACAGAGGTTAGGGACACCACACAGATGCTACTGTTAGCGGCTCTCATCTCTGTTTCTGGAGCAGCTCAGCACCGCACACCTCACCCGTCTCTCTCTCAAACACATCGCTCATTAGCAGAGAGAAATCTCTAACATGTGTTAGCAGGCATTACATAAAGATCACCGATGGTTGATATGCCAAACTGAGCTGAACTGGGTCAAGTCAGTCTTTTAGGGGCATCCATTCTGCAATCTCTTACCTTACGACTTCATTTCCGTGGGTTAAATCAACCATCTATTTCACAACTTCAAATGGTGCGAAATTCTGCGGCTTGACTTCTGTTGGGTGTATGTAAGTGTGAACATATTACCATGATTTCAATGTCTCTTCATTGGCTTCTTATCTGTTATATAACTGATTTTAAGATACCTTTCTTTGTTTTCAAACCCTTAACTGGACCGGCACCCACTTACCCACTTAGGACTTAATTTCTTTCGGTGTTCACTAAAGACTAGTTAGGTTTATGCAGCTGGCTCTGGTGTGTGAAGTGCATGAAGTCATTTTGCTGCCCAGTGCAAACAGCTCTGTCCGGTGGCTAATGGGGAGAGTTTACTTCACAATAATTACTACACTTGTGCAGCACGACTTCTCACTCAACCATGCTCTGGTTCCATCAACCAATTATAATCCTCTCGAAAACAAAGGCAAAGATGCCACTACACAGTGATGAGAAAGGCAGCTACAGTGCTAACATATAGCATCAGCACTTCTGCTTCAGAGTACTTCTACTGAAAAGGACTTCATTTCAGTTAATAAGGCTGCATTGCAAACAGTTCTTATATCTCAGTTTGACTGCATGAGCTGCTCTATTTTTATTTGTCACGCTTGGCATTGTATTTGTTACACTGGTATGACCAGGATTTCTGCGACAGGAGCTCGTTCCTGAGTTCTGTTCCTCCAGATCATGTTCTTATAGTTTTCTGCTGTATCAGTCTGGGAAAGGCAACACACACTGTGCTCTGGACGCTCTATCAACAGATCTCGCCTAATTCAGCAGAATGCAGCAAGAACCTCTGGTTTCTCCCCAAACGCTCACGTCTCTTTCCAGACTGTTTGTTTGACTCGGGCCCTTTAAAACAGTTTTCTCCACTTCTCCACTAAAATCTGCAGTCCTGATCAGCAGTGTTTACTGGAATATTTCTGAAGCTGGGAAATACAACACTGACCTGTCAAACTGAGAAAATGCACTTTGACATTTCCATTATTGTTCCAGATCCTGATGTTTAATTCATGCAACATACACGTTACACAATATAGACGACGTGCATATATTACATAAGGAATAATTGACCACATGCTGTTGAGTTATTGCGAAATAATGTAAGGACCACAGCACTTCTCACCGTGACCGCATTACTAGCCAGTGTGCATTACTGTTCAAGAATTGAATGGATCAGAGTCAATTATGTTTGCACTTCTAGTTTTCTTCTGATGTTGAGTGGCTGAGGAGTATAACGTCACCTCACTGTACTGTCGGTTTCTGCAAATGTGTATTATTGCATTCATAGATGGAGCAGGTTTATTGGCAATGGTCACTGATTGGGGACCTGCCTTACTCCAGGAGCCTTTCTATTTGTCAGCAATCATTTGGCTTTTTTAATTTCCTCAATAATTGGTTTGCCATCAATAATGCATGACAAATACTTCATTGAAGATGTTAGTGAGGAGCCCGCAAACATTAGAAGTACATTATCTGATGTTCAGATGGTTTCCATTTTACATTGAGCTTCACAAAAAAAGCTTTTTTAACTTTAATAAAGTGACGCTCTCTGTCTTAAGTGCTCTTTTTAAGTTCATGGTAAGTAATCCATAGAGCATCATGAATATTAAGAAATGCAAATGTATAGACGAACATAAACTGATGTTGTCAAGAGATCTTCATTGTTAGTTTGTTAGTGCATAGTTGTAATTCAAGCTATTAATGTAAAGAAACCTGTAAAAGTTAACATTAACCAATATTAAGTGATGCTATATACAGATCTTGCTCACTGTTAGTTCATGATAACGAATGCACTAATTAATGTGACCGAATGCCTTTAAACTCATGAGACTTGGTGATTCCTTGGGCCAAACAGAGTCGAATGATACCCAGCATTCCTATGTCTGTCCAGTTTATTCAAAGAAACAAGCTCATTTCACACAGACATGACTGAAAATTCATTGCACTTAGAAGAAATGCTATGTGAATTCAAACGGTCACAGCACAGGGTTAATATGCAGGAGATCTGCTAGTGTTTCATGTGCTGCCACGCTTTTCTTTAGTGGGCTCAAAGGAAATAAGTTCACAGTACTCATAAATACTGCTTTGTAAATGTACATGATGTAAGGCTGCCCCAAATGAAACTTGTGTTTTACAGTGTGTCGGCCATTTGCAATTTTGCAGTCAAATGTAGTATGTGATACAGTAATATAATACAGTAGATGTTTTGGATGTGACTGTGGTATGAAGAGAGGAACATCCTTCAGTTCTGAGGTTTAAGTGTAAATGTGAGCTGTTCTTTACCTCATGATATATGGATGGCTTGGACAGGGACGGGATCAGGAACGATAACAGCTTGCTGTTTCCATCTTTATCCATGATTTCCTGCAAAAATAAACAATAACGGGTGTGACACAATCAGATTGTCTTGAGTAGTTTTTTTTTTCCTTAAAAGTTTTTATTCGTTTTTTACATTAAATTTGTTGGTATCAATATTACATTAAATTACCAACTGCTGCATTTTTCCATTTTTTTTTTTAAAGCTACCAATATAACAGGGGTGTGTAGACTTTGAATACCCACTGAAGTATATATCACCTTATAAGAGTGCATGTGTGTATGAGAGTAAAGCAGGATGTGCTGTATGCATCAAACATTTAATACAGAGCTGGGCAAAAATACAGTTAACTGTTTACTCAGGCGGTTAAGATTTGCTAGATATTACATACTGCATACTGCTGTTAAATGATGCATAGAAGCGACAGGGTTAAAATTTCAATCATATCAGCACCCCTAAGCCGTTTCAAACAATGATTAGTCTAGAAAGAATGTTTCCAGTTTAGAGTTTGATATAGGTAAGGTCTCTCATGTTGGCAGACACACGACACACTACAGAGACACAAAAACATGCTCTCACGCCGCTGATAGTCTCGTGGGCAGTAGGGCTGTCAAAATGGCTGAAAAACGAAATTTGTATTTTGCACTTAAATATTATCAATATTCGAATTATATTTCAATTTAAAAGGCATAATTTCAGATAGGGTGGAAAAAGCTTTTGGCTTCTCTCATGAGGCCACAAGAGGGCGCATCGAGCAAAATATTACTAATTCACGTTTAATAAAGCAATAAAATAACATGACTATCTGTGAAAAAATGGCATAATGTTTATAAACCAAATATAATTAAGTTGCTTAAACAATTATAAACAAAAATGCAGCATATATGCATAGTTTAAAACAAAGGGATGAATGCCAGTCACACAGAGTACTTTTTTCATTTAAAGGGTTAGTTCACCCAAAAATGAAAATTAGGCTGTGTTTTACTCACCCCCGAGGCATCCTAGGTGTATATGACTTTCTTCTTTCAGACGAATCCAGTCGGAGTTATATTAAAAATTGTCTGCTTTTTATTTAACTTCTTTTGGACTGAAGCATGCAACACCCGCACACAATTTTTTATATAACTCCAACAGGATTCGTCTGAAAGAAGAAAGTCATATACACCTAGGATGCCTCCGGGGTAAAACACAGCCTAATTTTCATTTTTGGGTGAACTAACCCTTTAAAAACATGAGATGCAGTGGTATAAATATAAAACGCCATAAAGTCTCGAGACATGTTTTTTAAAAGTTGAACTTACATTAATTTTACATGGCTTTCTAAACATGCGGCTCTCTTGTCCAAGACACGAGTGCAACAGTGATAAATGTCCCTCTAGAAAATGTGCAAAATATGCATTCTATGTGAACGGCTTGGTTTCAGTCTTCTCTGCATTGATATTCTCTTTTTCCGCAATATTTTGAATGAACAACACAGCAGCGCAGCATCTAGTGGCTTCAACTGGATAAGCTAAGAAAAACATTACAATGCAATGACACTTACATCATCATCACATCTCGTGTGCCACTGATAAGGCTGCCTGACGCACACCTAACATTCGAATGCAACATTTTTGCATTCTCGCAAGTTCGAACCCGGGCTCGCAGACCTTTCCCGAACCCATCCCCCTCTCTCTCCCACTTTGCTTCCTGTCCTCTGTACACTGTCCTATCAAATTAAAGGCAAAAACACCAAAAATAAAATCTAAAAAAAAAAAAAAAAACATGCTCTCAGACCTGAACACGCTACAGCAACACGCTTTAATTTGATATGCTTTCACATTACATTCCTAACCAGTTTCTGGTCATAGGAACGTCATCTGAGATCTTTGGTTAGTTCTGGAGATTCTGAGAGCCCAGTACCCAGATATGAGCACATGAATCATCAGAATTTACTGCTGGTTGGTAATTTCTCTTTCCCAGCCACCTGCTTCACATTCAGTAATAAAAAACCTCCCTTAAATTTACCCCAAAATTTAAAGCACTTTTAAATGAAGAGTAGGGCTTTTATTTTAGGAGATAAGGAGGAGAAAGCAAGAGTGCAGCGGGAAAATAAGGGAAGTAAATGACTACAATAGAAGATGAAACAAAAATTGCAGCTGAGCGGTGCATAAGAGGCATGGACATAACATCAGCACGTGCCACACCATCTGGAGATCACTGAGCCATGAGTAACCAGAGACAGGCAAAACAGCTGAATGTAAGAGATTTAATGCTGGATCCACCAACAGCAGTCATGTAATGCTTTCATCTACTGCCTTCATCACTCTCACAGTATTGTCAGGGCTCTCTTTCAAAGCTACTCTCCAGTTTTTATCATTCACCCAGTTCTCCCCTAACCTCTGACTCTCCATCTATCATCTCTCAGGGGTCTGATCGTCTTCTCTTCTCTATCTTCTCTATTGAAAGGCAGCGGTCTTGTGGAAGATTTCTTGTGCAGTGCCTGCACCTAATCCTGCTGACCCCAGGGATCGCAAGCAATAAAGGCCAGCAGCGTTAATATCACATTTGATCAAGACATGAGAGAAACTTGTTCTTGAACAGCTTCAACCCCTGGTGCGCTTAACTGTGGAGCCACTGCAGTTTGCCTATCAATTCAGTGTTGTATAATGCAGTCATCTTCCCTCTACAGCTGCAGATTGGAGGGTATTTACAGGGGTGTATGAATGAAGCAACTCCATTAGACATGACGGCACAAGACCATGACGTGCTTTGAAGACCAAGAGTAGAGTTTTCAACTGTGTAGTACTTAACAGGGAGCTAACGAAGTTTATGTCACATGGGCTTACTGGTTTGCTGTAAGCTGTAAACATTGAAGTAATGTATTGGGTAATCCAATTAAGAGGGAACTGCGATAATCTGATTGGGAAGTAATGAAGACATGAATAATTGTTTCAGTATCTTTACAACTGAGGGAGGACCAAAGACGAGAAACATGGAGTTGACAAAATGAGGACATGACCTGGTTAATATGGGATATAAAACTGAGCAAAGAGTCAAATGTCACTCCCAAATTTTGGGTGTGACAAAAAAGTTGGTGAGGGCCTAACCAAAGTAGGTATAAGATGTTTGGGGCCAACTAACAATATTTAGTTTTGTCAGGATTTAGTTTCAAAAAGTTAGCTGCATCCATTTCTTCAGACTATGAATACAGCTTTTTATGGAAGAATATGGCATAAAGTGAACGGGAGGTAATGTAGATTTGTGCATCGTCTACATATGGATGGAAATGTAAGCCATGCTCCTGAATAATCTCACCTACTGTATGTGTAGCATACAGATTAAAAAGAGAAGTGGCCCAAGAACCGAGCCTTGGGGAACACCTCTGGAAACAGTTTGGTATTTGTGCTTGTTAATTGAAATAAACTGCTGCCTAACCCTAACACAGGTCTCCAGCCAATGGAACACACTGGCTGGAATGCCAATGGGGATAAAGGAGAGAGGTGTATTTCATGAGAAACAGCATTTAGTTTTCACTAAAGTCACAACAGACCAGTTATAACTGCTACTGAGTCTGCTGATAAAAGAAGGTAATTTACCAGCTTTAATACAGCAGCTTCACTACTGTGTAGTGGGCAGAAACCAGCCTGAAAAGGTTCATGAAGATTTTTGGCAATTAGGTGTGAATGTAACTGTAACCACCTTCATATACAAACACCAAAACATCCAACAGTCCCTGTAAACATTCAGGAGTCAATACTGAGATAATCACACACCTGGGACTTTATTTGTACAATAATTCTTATCCATTTGCAGAGATCCTCCTGGGAGAGCAGCATCCAGAACCACGGTGTCCAGTTGTCCGATCATGAACAGCAGCGTCAGGGTGCCTGTGGGGGTTACTGCTCCCTGGTTTAACATCCTCACCTCGAACCAAGAACCACAAACTGAGATGGAAAGCACCGTTTTCTTCCTTCTGTATGAGAGCTTCCTCTGAGGGGGAATGGTCTGCTCCCTTAGAGCTGGTCAAAGGGACCTTTGCAGTTTGCACACTCTCTGTCACTCAATGTTGTTTTATTCTGTCCCAGGATTCTGTCATGTTATTCTCGTGTGTGCTGGGTATTGTTAAAGATGTTTTAGCATCTGTGAGAGCATCTGTTATTTTTATAAGCTGACACATATTGGGTGAAGGGAGAGACAAAAAGTAATTTATTAGGAAGGCTAGTTCTGTCCTGGGTGCTCTTTTCCCACTGTAGATGATAGAGAAGGAAGGATTGTAAGGAAGTTGTCCTCCATCATCAATTGCTCCACTCACCGTCTCCATTAGACAGTGCATGTTGAGTGATAGACTCATTCAAACATGCAGCTCAAAAGAGCAATACAAGAAGTTATTCTCCCATCTGCTGTTTAACCAACATCAGATATGGATGACTGGATACTGTGCAGTATTTTGTATTGTTTTGTTATGTAGTGCTTGTGTTTGTTATTGTGTTTTGAATGTATTTATATTTTGCACATATTTAAATGTACACATATTGATGGTGTGCGTATGTGTATGGCATGGCTCCAGCGGCTGAATACACACCAGGTTGTAAATGCCCAGCAGAAGAGCCTCGATGCAGCCGCTGCTGTGTCCGTCTCTGCGCAGGTAAACCCACAGCAGCTCGGGCAGGAACTGCAGCGTGAAGCGGCGCAGACAGTCCTCTGAGCTGCGGTACAGCTCAAACAGCTGATGGCATACCGGCTCCAGCAGCTGTGAACACAGACCACACAGATGAGGCGGCACACAGAGGCTTCACTGTTGTTTATCTCTGTGCCGCCAGTCGTTCTTCTCACCTCACTGTCAGGGTCCTGGATGATGCTGTAGAGGGCTGGCACCAGTGTATTCTTCTGATCGAGGACTCCACCGTAACCAGACAGCTGCGTTTCAGACAATGCCTGTGAGAGCACAGGCCCGTACAGAGCATCATTTGAAAAAGTGTGTTAATAGCAAACTAATTTAAAGAACTGTTCAATAACTCTTGAATAAACTGTATTAGGCTCAAGGTTCTGTGCTCTTAAATAAAGAAAGAAGTGCTTGAAACACACCAGTGTTGAGGAGAAGCTAGCTACAAGTAACAACGCTACTAACGTAACTACATTTTTCAGGAGCTTGACAGTAGCTCAGCTACTTTTTAAACAATGTAGCTTTTCCAGTAGCTAACTACTTTTTCCAGCAAATAGCGGTGCAGCGCAACAACAGCTACATTCTATTTTGTGAGCCAGCAATAGACTGAAGCAGCGCAGCGTCTTAAAAGATCAGTTACAGCGATAGCGATGCCTTTGCCCATATTAGGGATTTCCTGGAGCATGAGTTCTGTTACTTCTGTGATGCATATGTGGAGTTCCTGCGCGAGGGCCCCCACCGGCTACCAGCATGAATGAAACACACATTACATGTATTTAGGGCTCAGTAATGCGCACTCAGTCCTATTTTGGGCATAAGTAGGAAAAATAATAATTCTCTCTTAAGAAATTTGAAGTAAACATATGATAACCCATGTTTTTCTCCAGTGTATGGAAGTGTACAGAAGTTGTTTTCCCCCTACAGTGGATTCATAAAAGGCTCATAGCCTATTGCATATTACAGGGTTAGTTCACCCAAAAATAAAAATTCTGTCATTAATTACTCACCCTCATGTGGTTCCAAACCCATAAGACCTTCGTTCATCTTCAGAACACAAATTAAGATATTTCTGATGAAATCCAAGAGTTCTCTGACCCTCCGTAGACAGCAATGCAACTGCAATGTTTCCAGGTCCAGAAACATAGCAAGGACATCGGTAAAATAGTCTGTGTGACATCAGTGGTTTAACCGTAATTTTATGAAGCTAAGAGTATAATTTTGTGTGTGTAAAGGAAAACAATAATAACAATTTATTCAGCAATTCTTCTCCCCGAGTTACCATCTTCCGCCATTTTGGAGAGTACCCCAGAACATAATCAATGTAATCAGCGATGTTTACGTTCAGCATGCGCACGCTTTCTGCTAATTATTATTATTATAATACTTATTATTGTTTTCTTTGCACACAAAAAGTATTCTCGTGGCATTGTAAAATCACGGTTGAACCCCTGATGTCACATGGACTATTTTACCGATGTCCTTGCTACGTTTCTGGACCTGGCGACATTTCAGTTGTGTTGCAGCCTATGGAGGGTCAGAGAACTCTCAGAGTTCATCAAAAATATCTTAATTTGAGTTCCAAAGATGAACGAAGGGTCTTACGGGTTTGGAACGACATGAGAGTGAGTAATTAATAATATCATTTTCATTTTGGGGTGAACTAACCCTTTAACAGCAGATGCTGCTTGACTCACCTTGAATTCGGAGAGCCAGTCTTCCACTATACTTCTATCTGTCGCCATCACCACTACCTGAGACAGACAGACAGAAATCCTGCAGATTACAGTCATGGCCTTATTAGGAACATGTGTATTTCCTAAATCAACTCATCAGTGGGTTCTCTGGGTGACTAGGCCAGTATAGTATAGCTGGTTTAAGGTCATGTACACCAGACAGACACCAACCAGACATGTTCCCTTGCAATTAATCAAAACAAAACTTGAAAACCACAAATCTACACATTAAGAAAAACCCTACCAAACCTTCACTTCAATTAAGAACAATCAGTTGCAGATTATATGTCCATATGTAGTTATATTGATGCTAAAATGGTACCAAACATGTAAAACAGCCCTATTTAGAGAGAGGCTTCCTCTCTGCCCAATCTCTCTTCCACCTTCAGATAGCAGGACCAAGTTAAAACTGCAATTGAAGTGTAGAAGCATCTCAAAGATGATCCAGAGAAAAATGGAATGCACCTGTGCTAAATTTCAAGTGTCAGAGAAATGGTCTATTTCACTTTTCTTTTTCTTTTTCTGGTTCTGGTTTTTGTGCTGTCATGATGGAGTATGGCGTGTAGACTGATGAATAAGGCTGCAACAATAACAGAATGTGAAGAAATGAAGGGACCTGAATACTTTCTGAGTGCACTGTATATTTTACAGAAAGGTTTTTATTTTCCTGAGAAAATATATGCTCAAGCTATTAGTGCGCCGCTCACCACAGCTCCGTGAAGCAAGAGAGATGCTCCCTATGATACTGAGATTTCAGTAACTAATGACTCCATCACACCCAACACAGTACTGATGTTCAGATTTAGTGTTGCTGCTGAGGTGCCAGGGCTGCGTTTCCCGAAACCTTCTTAAAGCTACGTCGTTCTTAAGTTGTACCTTAACCTGTACCTTATCGTTAATACGTGTTTCCCGAAACAATCTTAGTTAAGTATACCTTCTGTAAGTCATACTTTCGTAAGGTTGGTCTGGACCACTCTTAGCTAAACCTTATCACTTTTGACAGTTCACAGTTCTTTACATCTCATTCTATAAGAATATAATAGCTGGGCAAAACCAAGGCCAGCGCCGTCCGTGGAGCCATATTGTGTATATGTGCACTAAAACTTTGCTGGCATGGCAGCAAATTCAGCAGATTTAAAATTTTGTTGGTTCGATTTTATCAAGACAAATACAGCTGCAGGCGGCTCTCCTCTTTCTTTCTCTCCACAATAGTAGCTGCTGATTATATGTTTCTCTTGTTGCGTTTTTATTGAGTAGGTCATCAAATAACAGAAATTAGTGATGCTTCTGCTGGACAATCAACCCTGGTAGTGGAATAGATGAAGACACTATGGAAAATATGTTATGATAATATAAATGACCCATTCAAAGGCCAGTGAAGGCATACTGTCAGTTAGTGATAAGGGCTACGTTTGGCCATGAGGTTGCGGGTTCGCACACTCATTTCAAAATTATATAAAAATATCCTGGGTTAGATTTAGTTTGCAATTTGGATTGTTTTTTTTAAGATCCCACACTTGTTGGAAAGCACTCTTACCACTATGTTTTCTGTTGGACTTGTGTAGGTCCAAGGTGTTTTTTTTCTCTCTCTCTTCTGTTAAAAGCTGTTAAATTATTAAGCAGTGTCTCATGTAAGTTTTTTTCCTTGTATTTTATGTGGTGACCACTGGGAGGTGCTCTAGGCATATATTTTTCTTTCTTGGTTTTCTTCCCTGATGTGATGTATGTTGCAAAGCGAAAGTGAAAGTTCCACGCAAGTTCATTGCATTCTAACAGGAAAGAGTTCCGTGTCTTTAATTAAAATCAACACTTCTTTTAGAAAGAACACCGCTTTCTCACGTAACGCAGTGAAGCGACCCGTGCATTAGGGGTGGGAATCTCTAGGCACCTAACGATACGATTCAGAGGGCTGCGATGCGATGATAAAACCATTATCGATGCATTTTTTGTTTTAATACAGACTTTCTTTTTTCTCACTGTCTGACTATTAAAGCAATGTATCTGGAATGACCCATAATGAATTCACTTTCCTGATCTTTTATTAATGAAACAAATGGAAGTGATTTGGCAAGTCAACAGCAAGGTTACAAAGAACCAACGGGAGATGAAACATGTGCCTGTAGCAGCATACTTGTAGTAAATTAATACAGACTTGAGCATATTCTGTAATATGGTTTCTCATATTTGTTGTGTTTCCAAAATATTTTAGTTTGGCTTGACACAACTTGCATATAGTGTGGCTCTTGTTCAGGGTCTTTCCCCCTTCAACTTCATAGAAGCCAAAGTGCTTCCATACGCTAGCTTTTAACGCAGACGGTGCCGGTCGGATTTCATGCCCTGCCATCATGCATCTGTTACCCCTTTTGTCAATGCTCGCGTTTACACCAGCCGCACCACAGCACGTTTCTGAAGCACCGCCTTCAACTGCACAAAACGCTTTCACTACGAGAGAAAGCAGCAGCTGCGTGGTGATTCCACCGCTTGCCACGTCCCGTGTGAAAGGGCCTTAATGCTTCTGGTGTGAGCTGGCAATGCGTAGAGGACAAAACAAAACCTTGTCGGAGCCATAACGCGCCGCAGACGCATGCAATGTAAATAAGGGGTTAGAGTTCTGCCTTTTGCGTTCCGTCAACATCATGTTATCAATTAACATTCAGAAATAGAAAATCGATTTTTGACATTTGTGAATCAATTCAGAATCATCCACATCTACATCGTAATGCATCTAAGAATCAAATTTTCCCCCTACCCCTAGCGTGCATAGAATGAATAATCTATTCTCGAGCCATTGATATCAACCGATTCAGCACCACCGCCATGGACAGCACCTGGTAACGTCGCACGTAAGGAGGTATACCTTAAACAACCTCCTAAGGTATAGTTCGGGGATCACACCTAGAAATGGTACACCTTTAGTTAAGACATACCTTTAGAGTCTTTGTAGCATGCTAAGAAACAGTGTTATCGGGAAACACAGCCCAGAGCTGTGTGTGTGTGTGTGTGAGCGCGTGTGTGCGTGTGAGCGTGTGTGTGTGAGCGTGTGTGTGGGTGTGTGAGTGCGTATGGGTGGGTGTGTGTGTGCGTGTGAGCGTGTGTGTGTGTGCGTGCCTGTGTGTGTGTGTGTGTGTGTGTGTGTGTGTGTCTGTGTG